GCATCATAAAGAGGAAGGTGCGACAAAGAAGGCCCAAGACGATTGAACAGTTAGAGGCCTGTATTAGACATGAATGGGAGAGCATTCCTATTTCTAAACTCGAGAAACTGGTCTCCTCTGTCCCCAGACATCTGTTGAGTGTTGTAAGAAGAAGGGGGGATGCCACACAGTGGTAAAAATGGACTTGTCCCAACTTTTTTGGGATTTGTTCCATCCATCCATCCATCCATTATCTTTACCCGCTTATTCCATTTTGGGTCACGGGGTTCGCTGGTGCCCATGTCCTGCAATCACTGTGCGAGGGGCGGGGTACACCCTGGACGGGTCGCAAGTCCATCACAGGGCCACATAGAGACAAACGAGACAAACAACCATTCACTCTCTCACTCACACCTAGGGACAATTTAGAGTTACCAATCAGCCTAACATGCATGTTTTTGGTCTGTGGGAGGAAACCGGAGTACCCGGAGAAAACCCACGCATGCACGGAGAGAACATGCAAACTCCACCCAAAAAGGCCTCTGGACCGGGGTTTGAACCAGGGACCTACTCGCTGAGAGGCAGCAGCTCTACCAGTTGCGCCACCATGCTGCCCTTTTGGGATTTGTTGACGCCATGAAATTTGGAAAAAACAGATTTTTCCCTTAAAATGATACATTCTCTCAGTTTAAACTTTTGTTCTGTGATTTGTGTTCTATTCTGAATAAAATATTAGATGATGGCACCTCCACATCATTGCATTCAGTTTTTATTCACAATTTGTTTAGTGTCCCAACTCTTTTGGAATCTGGTTTGTATAAGAAACGTTGGTTACGTACTGTAACCCCAGATTCTATGAGTATAGGCGTAGCCCTTTAAGGCTGTCACTTAGTGGGTTTCATCCCGTCATGCGAAGCATCACACTGAAAAATTTAGTCCACGCCCACCTGCTGTCTGGGCCCCACCCGGTCTGTATAAATTACGTTAAAAGCGGGTAATCGGCTCCCAAATAGCTTTTTCTTCAGCCACTTAGGAGCCAGTGAGGCCCGACGCTTAAAGGGCTACGCCTATACTCATAGAATCTGGGGTTACAGTGCGTAACCAACGTTCTATTTCGTATAGGTTTCGCCCTTTAAAGATGTCGCTTAGTGGGTTAAGGGCGAAGCAGATGTGGTCCTCGCCTCACTGGGTCCATTCGAACACCGTATGAAGCAGAAGCTTGCCCAAAAAACGTCTTGTCACTCAACTCCCCATGTACGTAATTACGCATTGTGTAATTATGTGTACCATGCACAGATGCATGTTGTGTAACTATGTGTTCTGAATGCATGAACGACCCAGAAACTTTCGACAGGGAAAAAAGATGTTGAGAAGGGGGGGCCATGAAACAAGTGATTCATGGCTGAACAGTATGAACAGATTAATAATAACAAATGAACTGATTATAATCAAATGAACTGATTGGTAACAATAGTCATGAACTGATTGACCATAGAACCAAATAACAGTTACAACTTGTGACTGATAACAACATCTCACACTGTAATGCATGCAGACAGATGTGAGTTCAACGGAGTTCCATGAAACAACAATATTCATTCTGTAAAACACTTAAGGACAGAATGTGTCATGGAACGGGCCGTCATATCACGTAGATAAAAGCGAATAAATGAGCAGGGTGTTGACCACGCGGTCGCAGTGCAAATATCCTGCATTGTCATACCATTATGCAAGGTAGTCGAAGATGCAATACCTCTGGTCGAGTGCGCCCTGAGGTTGACAGGAGGCTCTAAATCTGATGCTCTGTAGGCTTCAGAAATGGCCTCACACAACCAGTGTGACAGGCACTGGGTGGGTAACAGGCGACCTGCAGATGTATCTCTATAATGCACAAACAAATGTTAAGTTTGACGCATTGCAGCTGTGCGCGCTATGCAACACGTCAACGCCCGCACCGGGCAGAGAAGATGGAAAGATGCTTCTTCTTCTGATTGTTTGGGGGGGAAGTGGAAAAACCCCTCCAACGATATCACTCTTAATTTAAAAAGCTCGTGATGTTTTAGGCATAAAAACTGGATTCGGTCTTAGATCAGCTGAGCTGCCGTCAGTCTGAGTTCCAAGACACGACGATGGAGCGACAGAGAGGGCAGATAATCTCTCACCCTCTTAGCGGATGTTAAAGTCAGTAGCAGGGCTGTTTTAAGAGACAATAGTTTAATTGGAACCTGATTCAGTAGCTCAGATTGAGCCTAGATCAGGGCTCACAGGACCAGCGTTAAATCCCACTGTGGAGCAAGTGGGCATGAAAAAACAGGCCTGCATCTCTGTACACCTTTTAAAAAACTCTTCATCAGCGGATGATTAAAGGCTGTTCTGACCCTGAAAACCTTGTGACAGGAAGAGATGGTTGTAGCATACGTTAATCATGCTGAATGCCAGATTTCTGTCCATCTGCTGCTGCAGAAGGACAGCACACCGGCTCGAGGACATGAAGTGGCCTCCACACCTTCTTTATACACCTTTACAAAATGCTCCATCAGAGGATGATTAAAGGTTGTTCTGTGTCCGACAACTTCGTGACAAGAAGAAAAAATTGGCTGTAGCATACGATAATTGTGCTGAACTCCAGATTTCTGTCCATCAGCTGCTGTAGAAAAAACAGCACACTGCCTAGAGGACATGAGGTGACCTCTACACCTTCTCTATACACCTTTTACAAAACGCACCATCAGAGGATGATTAAAGGTTGTTCTGTCTCCGACAGCTTCGTGGCAAGAATAAGAAATGGCTGCAGCATACGATAATCGTGCTGAACGCCAGATTTCTGTTCATCAGCTGCTGTAGAAAAGGCAGCACACTGCCTAGAGGACATGAAATGGCCTCTACACCTTTCTCTGTACAGCAGCGCTGAAAAACTGACCACTTGATGTGAACAGTGCTGTGGTGGTTGCAGCACGTGAATCCTGAATCGTATGCACTACATCTTGAGAGAGATCCATCCTCCAAAAAGGATCCGCACAGCAGCCAGACCAAAGGTGCTGGCCTATTCTGGTTAACTCCTGATCGCTCCTCCCGCCTGGAGGAGAGCGTCCTCCCTCTACGGCAGGTTCCACGAGCGCCCCAAGAACAAGTGTCGTAGGACTGGGGACCATGATGTGTTCACGCATTTCGGACAGAAGAGCTGTCAGTCCCTCCTCCTGAGCTCGGTTCAGAAAACCGTGATGTCAGAGGGAGTGAGGGAGGTGAAGAAGCATTACGACCACAGGCTGTGAGCAAACGCGTCCACCCCTAGCGGTGGATCGTCCCGTGGGCTCCATGATAATTATAGTTGACATCGAGCGTTCTCACGTGTTACAACAGGTCCACAGCCGCTCTCAGGATTTCTGCCACGTCTGAGCCATCAGCTCTGGATGGAAGGTCCCCGTGCCGCAAAAGAACATCTTTGGACATCACATCCGTCCCCTGTTCAGAACACAGGAGATGTACCGTACTCCGATGGAGAGCAGATTGGGTGTGCCCCACACAGCATCTGTCGCACAATGTGGCACAAGGGTTGAGCGCATACATCTCCTGCCAGTTATGTATGCAACAGTCACTTGCTGTCTGTGTGAATCAAAACCCTGATGATTCCGTAGCACAGAGGCAAAGTGTTGAATCACATTCAAAACCCTGTGTGACACTCGAAAAACATTTAAATACTAACCTGGATAAATAAAGGCTAAAAAAAAAAAAAAAAAAGAGCTTCTGTGTGGAGAACCACAGCGCCCCCACAGCTCGTTAAATGTATGTGCCTCTGTGAAGTCTTGACATGTGTGACGTAGGTCTGCTGACGGAAAACAGCTGATATCACTCTACCGGTTTCACGTGAGTTGCACTGCTGCCACCTGTCTGTACAAACTGCTCAGCAGCAGCAGATGTCCAGATAAAGCAGAATTCTTCTCCCTGCTCTGTGCGGCGGCTGCAGAGCGGCTTGGCGCATTAATGGAATGTTGTTTCTCACAGTTCAAAATTGACAAATCTAGAATAAATCTCATCTTTCCGGTTCGTTGGGACCAGGGAGTGACGAGAGAGGAACCCTGTGTTTTCCTCTCCTTCTGAGACTGGAAATGACATTAATCAGAATTTCCTGAGCTTCTGTGAGAGGGGACGAGATCTGTTTTAGAAATGACAGAAAACGTCACTAGAGTTCCTCCGCACTGAGGTTTGAGCTGTACTGCAGCCTGAATCCCCTGATGAAAATGGTTCGCCTATCCGTCTGGAGCGCGCACTCATTGCCACTCGTTTATAAAGTTATAAAGCGGGCACGCGTTTATGCTGTGGGCTCACATGCATGCTGATGTGAGCTGGTGCGCGCTGAAGGAGAAAGAAAAAACGCGTGCCCCCGAGCATGCAAATCGTTGTGCGTTTGCTGATGCTGCGGGACGCGGCTCATCTGTGCTGTGCTCATGTTGTGTGCCGCTGCTCCGTGTAAACGCTCGGGGAGCGGCTGCACATATGAGCCGACGTGTCCTGAAGAGTCGAGTGTGTGCGCCCTCATTCATGCGACGCCTTAAGCGAGGATTGCCGCAGGAGCGCACGTTTGACGCTGGTGCGGTCAGGAAGCAGCGTGCGGCATCGGTGGGGCGAAGTTACCACTGGACTCGTTCTGCAGAACACGTTCATTTTTGGCTGCGAATCCCGTGAGCTTTTGAGTGATTCCACGAGCTGCAGTGTTAATTCAGAAAACCTTCTTTGAGGATGAAGGAGCCGAGCCACTGTGAGGCTTGTGAAACTGTTGACGCCACGGGAGCGCGCGCTTGACACCACTGCGGTGAAAACGCGTGTCGCTCCTGCAGAGAGCGAGATACGTTACTGGGCTCGTACCGCGGTCTCACATTTACGTGAACGGCGGGTGCTGAGAGCTGTGTGCGCGCTTTCATAACGCAGCGCCTTATAGGTGAAGGCTGCTCGTGCCTCGGGCGCGCGTGTTGGCACCGCCGGCAGTGAATGAAACAACCTTAAAAGGCTAATTCGTGATGAGTGTGTGTGATGGGGCCGCTGTCAGATCATCCAAGCTGACAGCCTGGCTAAAAGACACTTCATCATAAAATGATGTTTATTCCACATCGTGTCATCTACACACATCCAACAAACCGACACCTGGTTATCTTCCCCTGAGCTTCGTGGTTTGTTGTCCTAGAAGGCCCCCTGTTGGCGGAGTCCGGGAAAAGTTGAACTTCCAGATGCCGGGGACGTCTGACGGGATTGACTGGCGTAGCAGAGCTGGGGAGGCGTTGTGCAGCCGTGGAGCATCTTGAAATGATCTCTCGTTGATGAAGGCCCTCCAACAAAAAGCTTCTGCAGAGGAAGGTGGAGTGACGAGCCAGGAGAACCTCTGGGACCTCATTCTCCGGCTGTGATGCGGGCCAGAAGACAGCAAAAGAAGTGCACCGGTTGGGGACCAGCTGCCCTGCAGAGGGAGCGTATGTCTCCTCCCGCCTCTGAACGTGTACGTCAACAGCGTAACGTGTTGTTCGCTGCGGCCGTCTGGAACGCATGCTGGTGAGCTCAGTTGGAGAGTGGTGTCACCGTCTGGGTTACGCTAACCGGAGGCGCTGAACGCTGGTCCACCTGGACATCTTGCTCCGAGAAAAAAGCCTCTGTCAGGCTCGGCTCCAGTGGGCACTGAGGGAATTTCTGCTCGGTGAAAACCCCTCTGCTCGGGAGATGGGCGCGGACTGTGGAGACCGACCCCCCAAACTACCAGGAAAAGCCGGCTGTGGCCTCGTCCCGTTGGACGTCCTGTTGGGAAACCGAGGCCAGATGGATCAGGATGGTGAGCCAGAATGGAGCCTAGAAAAAAAACTTCCTGCCGGATCATTGGAACTGGCGGGAAAGGCGCGGGACGTAAATAAGGGTCCCTTCATGTCGGCCGCTCCTGGGTTACGCTGGGCAACCCCAGAGGGCGCCGTCGGCCGGGAGCAGTGTGATCGCCGATGCGAAACGAGGTGTGATGAGGTGAGCATTCGCTTAGCCCCCCTCCACCAACACTACGCTCTCCAGGAGGGAATGAGCAGCGGGGGGCTGCAGCTGACGTGGCCTGTCCCAGAGGAACCATCCGATTCGTTCCGTGGGTCGGCGATAAGAGGAAAATTACAAGATGGCGTTGTCCAGCGTGTAGCGACCTGTCACTGAGAAATACTCCTCGGTGCTTACCTTGAAACAAGACTGCTCGTCAGCTTCTCCTCGGGGAGGAGAGCTCACCGGGACGACCGGAGGTCGACGTGACGGGCCAAGCATTCTTAACAAGGTTGGTCATTTACACAACTTTCCTTCTTCGTTCTTCTGACAGTGCTATTAGCTCGCTGAAGAAAAAATGGGAGCCGATTACCCGCTCTTAACGTAATTTATACGGACTGGGTGGGGCCCACACAGCAGGTGGGCGTGGACTAAATTTTTCAGTGTGATGCTTCGCATGACGGGATGAAACCCACTAAGCAACAGCCTTAAAGGGCGAAGCCTATACGAAATAGAACAGACACTCTTTCGCCTCTGTGAGAATTCAACAAACAGCCTAAACGAGTCACCGAGACTAAATAGCACTAACCTGTATAAATAAAGGTTGAATGAAGAAACTGCACAAATAGTTATTATTCATCTTGCTGCATGTATTGAATCAGCTCCTTCTACAGTTCAGAAACCTGGTGAAAAAAAATCTATTTTCTTATTGTGTTTCAGCTCAACCAAACATCACAACTCAAGCACCACTTAGCCTCGGTGAGTTTCTGTTCATATCATTTCTGGTGTTTCACTGTGTATATTGTGTGCCACATTGCGTTTTATTCATTTTTCAATTGTGAAAATCCTAAATGAAAGAATGAATCTGTAAATGTCAAGGTTTTATAGTTCTTTAATATTAAAAATGGTTTGATTTTACAGAAAGTCACAGCTGTATTCCTCATGGCTCCAGCATTACCACTACAGTCAGGGACGTCTATATGTAATAAATAGGCAGTTATATACTTCACTAATATGAATTATCTATGTAAATACAATAATAAAAGAAATGCAGAAAAAAAATTGCCATAGCACCAACAATAGATTGCATTTTTAGTGTTTGTGAAAGGCTGAAAGCAGCATTTTTTTTGTCAGAAAAGTACAAAAGTGATTGTCAAGAAAGTGGGGTTTGTTTCATTAATTCTGTTTACACATTTAAAATAGCAGCAAACCATACTAGAGTTATAAATGTTAATAAGCTGCAGTTGTGATCATACGTGTACATATACTCTTATCATCATAGTGTCATAATCATTTTGGACTTTTAACGTTTTTATTGTGCATTTCTTTTCCCACAGTGGAAAACATACATAGGTATATATAGAACATCAAAGATTTTGTAAAAACAAGAACTGGAGTTGTACACGGGGTCAATAATATACATACAGCCTTAAGTATCTTTGAACATATCCTAGATAGAACCTGCATCCTACAGGTGAACATATAAACTTTTTGAGGCTAAGGCTTATTCACTTTTTACTGGTGAGCATGATTGACTGCAGCTAGTGGTTTCTCTTTGCCAACATAAAAAGAATAAGTTTGAGAACACTCACTGGACCGACCAATACAATAATACAATAAAAAATATCTAAGAAACCTGATGAAGATCTAAAAAAACAAAAAAGAATTTGCGCAATTATTTTGGAGCCTTTTTTAAAATCTTTCTAAGATACTCAGTTTAAACAATTGCACTATTCAGATGTGTGTTGCAAAGGTCTGGAAGAAAAACTGTTACCCTCAGATGAAAGCAAGTTGGTTTGGATGTTCAGGAACTACACAGAAACCACCAAGGCTCATTTACTGCCAACTGGAAACTGTTGGAACATCGGTGTCACCGTCCAAAGTGAAGCCAGTTTTCCATTTATCTAGACTGAGAGGGTAACTGACCTAAAAGGAAGGCCCTGCTCTGAAAACAAAACCTTTGAGCTCAGTGACAAACGTTTTCTGAAGAAAAGTTTTCAAGCCTAAAGTTGAGCTGTTTGGCCACTGTTACGTCCACCAAGAACATGACATATTAAGGAGGGCACGACACACAAATGTGAGGGTTCAAAACATTCAATTTATTTAAGCAGCTGCTTCTTGTGGGAAAAAAAAGAACACCATGAACCCCCAATTCTCGTGTCCACCTAAAAAGACACAAAAACCCAAAGCAGCAACTTAAAGATGGACCTGCTGAGCCAGAAAACCAAACGAAAAGGTACAGCAGCGGGTCAACCCTATACAGGGCCGTCGTAGCCGCTGCTGATACCAGACTAAAGCTACATAAAAAGTAAAAAAAACACATATTACAAAAAAAAAAAAAAACGCAAAAACAAGACAATCAGTCCTACCAGGCCAAAGTCTCGTGTGAACCGTCATTGCATACACAAATTTAAGATTCTTCAAATTCCTGCATGATTATGTTTTCTGTTGAAGAGTAATTCAAATAGTGATATAAAAGACGCATCACAATAGGAACAGAGGCTTTAACAAGCTTTTACAAGAGGCTTGTAAGAGACAAGAATTATGCCAAAATAAAAAAAGTAATTTTTTTTTTAAATTATTCACAGAAACTTCCATCAGCCTTCAAAATAAAGGCACTTTGGAGTCTGCTCGAAGAGGAACAAACGAGAATCAAATTTCACCAGGTAAAGACATGGCCTTCAAATCAGTAAAAACACATGAAAGGTCAAGTGAAGGCATGTGTTTTCCAAGAGTCATAAAATTGATACAAAAACTAGTTATAACGGAATATAAAAAAAGGAGACGAAGAAAAAATAAAATCTGCTAGTTATGGTTAAGTTTCAAAGGGTAATATATGTATCGAGTGTTTATTTGATATAAAAGCAATTTTTTTGAAACAAGGAAATGTACAAGCTTACCAAATGTAGAGGTTAAAGCATTGGTGTCAGAAGCATTTGTAATGTGGGAGAGACACTGCTGGGAGGGTCTGGGGTCCTCCCCCAGAAAATTTTTAATAAAGTAGATGCCATTTCCTGCATTCTGGTGTATTTTAACAGGTTGTTAAACATCTACATTTACATATACAGTATATGTAAACACTTGATTCAGTATCCTGATGCATGCTCAATAATCCAGGTAGAAAAATCCAAAAAAGTTACTTGATTCAGTTACTATTTTAGAGAGTGACAAGAAGTAGCCTGACCAACAGCTCTCCTTGTTTGAATAGAGCACGCTCCAGTACTAACGTGGCAGCATGCAACACAGAGGCGTCTACCCCTCCTTCCCCCCACCCTGTCAAGTGATCTAGGGGAAACACTGCATGCTGTGTGATGAGTTGTTGTAGGTAACCAGGAAAAACTTTGGTTTGAGTATTCTCCTTTGAATCAATTGGAATGGATTAGTTCACGAAGAAATAGAAACAGTGCTGGGTGAACTAATGGTAAATTCAATTCAGTTTATTTATACAGCGCCAAGTCACAACAGAAGTCATCTCAGGGCACTGAACAGAAACATTCATATATAAAAATAATAATTTAACATTATTTATCTGAGGAGCAGACTGCTTTGAATTTAACTTCATCACAGAACTCTCATCTTGAACAAGCATGAAGACGACAGTGGAAAGGAAAAACTCCCTCATGAGGAAGAAACCTTTAGCAGAACCAGGTTCAGGGCAAGGGGCCATCTGCTTCAACCGGCTGCGTTTGGTAGGAACAGATACACAATGGCAGGTCAAGAATCACATTTTAAGATAGAAATAGTATCAAATGAAAACTATTCAATTTTAGCAAATCATTTAAGGAAATTAGGTCAATTTGTTCTCTAGTAGTCTAAGCTTAAGAAAGAATGACAAGCCGACCCTAACTATAGGATTTATCTAAAAGGAAAGTCTTAAGCCCAGTCTTAAAACTGGACAATGTATCAACCTTACAAACAGAAACTGGAAGTTGGTCCCACAAGAGAGGAGCCTGATAACTGAAAGACCTTCCTCCCATTCTGCTTTTGGAAACTCTAGGGGCCACGATTAAGTCTGCAGTCTGAGAGCGAAGTGCTCTGTTAGTAAAATATGGAAGAATAATATCTCAAATACAAGATGAAGCTAGGTTGTTGAGAGCTTTGTATGTTAGAAGTAAGATTTTGAATTCAATTCTGAACTCGACAGGGAGCCACTGGAGAGAAGCTAAAACTGGAGAGATATGATCTCTCCTACTAACTCGAGTTAAGACTCTGGCAGCAGCATTTTGGATCAACTGAAGACGTTTTAAAGAAGTATTTGGACATCCAGATAATAAACCATTACAATAGTCCAGTCCAACGTCCCCTCTAATTTTTAATGTGTCTGGGCAAACACACAAGCTCCCTGAGCGCACTGAGGACCACAGTGAGCAACATCAGATGTGCACACTGTGGTCACACACCAGTATCACACCTGTTCAAAATCTGGCAAAATCATAGCAAGTTACATGGCTTATTAAAAGAATCAAATTACAGCAACAATTTCCATTAGTTTAATTTTAATATAAATGATTTGGCTCACTTCAAATGAAAAAGACAAAAATCTTGTTGTTCATGAGACGTGTAGTATGTAAAATGTGAGAGTCCTGCTTTGGGCTGGGTGAGGATCCTTGCTCTGGAAGATAGTTAGCAACACGGTGGCCATTGGTATCAGAAACATGTTTGTAATGTGGGGGGAACACACTGGTAGGGGAGGTCTGCGGGTTCTCCCCCAGAAAATTTTGAATAAAGTAGATGCCATTTCCTGCATTCTGGTGTATTTTAACGGGTTGTTAAACATCTAGTTTTACCTACACAAGTAACGCTTGATTCAATAATTATTTTAGAGTTAATGGCACAACAAGAAGTAGCCTGACCAACAGCTCTCCTTGTGTGAATAGACCACACTCTGCTTCTCTCACACATCCTAGTCATAGTCTAAGAAACATAGTGTATCTTAAGTTAAGTTTTTTTTTTTTGTTGGGGGGGGGGGGACAGAGGGGGGAATCACTAGCCAATATGTAACGATAATAATAATAATTCCTTCTTACTCTCTGACTCTGATTATCAAATATTTTACATGAACGGTAAGATCACTCCACCCACAAGGAAATGTAACCCAGGGTGAGCTAACCTCAGACAAACAAACAACATAGCTGTAATGGTGGAGGTAGTGAAGCACACAGCATGACCTGAGATATTTAGTGAGGTGTTTCTGCCTTATCGACCAACATTAAGGCAAAGAAGACAGAAAAAAACCTAAGCTGCTATTAACTTAAAGTAGTTACTGCAGTGGATGTTTTCATGCTGCAAAGCCACACAGGGCAAGAACTCACAGTGAAATTTAGTATGTAAGAGTAAATTTTACATTACACAACCTATTAAACTTCTTCTTTCGGCTTTTCCCTTTTCAGGGGTCTCCACAGCGAGTCCTCCTCCATCTCACTCTGTCCTCACTCCATCTACCTCCATGTCCTCTCTAACTGCATCCATATACCTCCTCTTTGTCTTTTTCCTGGCAGCTGCATTTCTAACATCCTTCTACCAATATACCCACTGTCCCTCCTCTGGACATGTCCAAACCACTGTCCCTCCTCTGGACATGTCCAAACCATCTCAGTCTGGTCTCTCTAACTTTATCTCCCAGTTGTTCAACCTGTGCTGTACCTCTGATGATCTCATTCCTAATCTTATCCATCCTTGTCACTCCTAATAACCTCAGCATCTTCATTTTTGCCACTTCCAGTTCTGTCTCCTGTCTTTTTGTCCATGTCTCTGTCTCCAGACCATACAACATAGCTGGTCTCACAACTCTTTGTAAACTTTTCCTTTGACCATCCAGATATACACCAAGCACTACTGTTTGCTAACACTTAACATGCTAAAAATGGCTACAAGTTGTGGGATTAGTTTACTTACTGCCTTTGTTTGACGTCGTATGACCATAAACTTCGGTGATAAATCCACAACGCCAAATATTATTCCTTGGTATGCGATGAAATATGCAGTAACAAAGCTTGGAAAAGCGCAAGAAGTCATAGTTGCTTGTAGCTACGTAGCTTCTTTGAACTTAGTTTGCATGTCAGTGCAGAAACTCCAGAAGATGCTCATTGGCTAGATACACAAATCATGTGACACAGGGCTGTTTTGACCAGAGTGGGTGGTTCCGTCCCCCACTTTGCTCGCATCAGGGGCTGCAGTGTACAGACAGCTGTGCTCGAGCCGACAGTTTATTATAAAATGGGAGATAACCTTGTGTCCAGTTCGCAACGGCGCGGCATAGGTTTTCTTGTGCACAGAGAATGTACGAGCAGTGCACGATTGCGCAGGCGCATAGCTTAGAGGAAACATTGGTCCAGTCTATACGTGACAAATGTATGAACCAGTTTTTCTGCATCTTTTTTAGATAAGATGTTTCAATTTTAGTGATATTATGCAGGTGGAAGGTAACGTTTGTAATGTGGGGAATAAAAGACATGTCCTGATCAAAAATAACACCAAGATTTTTAACATTAGAACTGGAGGCCAGATCAATGCCATCCATTCTGTTTTGCTTAGGTGGCCATCTTGGGTTTTTGATTTTCAAGTCAGAGTCTATAGGGATCATTGTCAGCTACCAATACACCAAATTTAAGCTTAATATCTTTAAAAATGGCAGAGTTGTCTATTTTTTCTTTTTTTAGCTAAGGTGGCCATCTTGGATATTTGATTTTCATTAGGAGGTATAACAACTTGATCCCAGCTACAATCATTTCAGCTCAATATCTCCAAGAATGACTGAGTTATAGTCAATTTTGTGTTTGCTGAGGTAGCTGTGGCAGCCATCTTGAATCAAAATGGCTCCAAACATTAATAAGCTCTCGACATTTATCTGATGATTACTTTCTGTGAGTTTCAAACAAATCCAACAATGAGTTTCTGGTTACTTCAGGGTCATCTACACTCTAAGTCATGTGACTTGACAGCAGCAGTTAGTGTGAGGAGTGTTCTCCCATTCCCACTTTTTTACATCTATAAATGTAGAATCTGTAAATATTACAGCAAGGTTTTATTTTTTTTCTCTGTGCAGGGACACAAAGCTGTGCACCTCAGAACTCCACATGTTCACCAGTCGCCACTACCGGGAACATCGACGCCCACAAGGGGACACTTACATGTAGGATTACATTTTGGACTAAATTATTATTAGTTACAAACTCTTTATTATCAGAATTTGTAGTGCAGCAATAAGGTGTGAAGAAAGATCCAGTTCATTGTAGTTCAAAGTGGGTTTAGTTTAGCATAGGATATATACAAGGTAGACATATAATTGTGCTTATCTAGATGGAAGCATTAAGTGTTTACTTGAGTGTTTGTTTTTTATTAGCAGTTATGGCCACCGGATTAGGCATCGGATCAACTGTGGTGATCTTGACCTTTACTGTGCTCGCCATCTTTTTATTATGGCGAAGGTAAGCGGGATCTTAGAGGACTGTCATTTAACAAAGATCTTTAAAGTTTCAGGTTAAAAAATGGCTTTATTCATTTCTATTTCAGGAAAACAACTCTGATCCCACCACCGTCAGAACTGGAAATACAACCAATGAATGGCGAATTGGCAACGGTGCCTTAGTACCCGGGGACTTTCTGCTGTTACCGAAGAGCAACGGTGTTACTGGAGGAGTTGATTTCAAAAACTGAACAGAGATGTGACATCACCCACCGTTTGGAATATGGTTTTTATAGGCTCACATCAGAGTTATTTGACAGAGAAATGCCTAAATTTGTATTGCTCATTTACACATTACTCATTGTTCATTTTATTTAAAAAAAATAAGTAGGAAATATCTAACATTTTTCAGTCAGGTCATCTGGACAGTTTCTTTTTTTTTTTGTGCTGAAACGTTTCGCCTTTAGTCTGGAAGGCTTCATCAGTCAAGGAAACACACAACAAAACTGATTTGTCCCCCAACAGCTTACTCCAAAGTGGAACAAACCAGTTCTGCTTGTGATTAGATGGTGTCTTTGGTACGCCCCCTCCTCCATTGACGGCCCTCTTCCTTGTTGACAGTCTTGTCAAACTGGTTGTAAACAACAAAGTCTTCCGGACCGAAGGTGAAACGTTTCAGCACAAAAAAAAAGAAACAGTCCAGATGACCTGACTGAAAAATGTTGGATTGTATACCTGGATTATTGAGCATGGACTAAGTAGGAAATATATTCATGCACCGTTATGTTCTACTGAATGTTAAAACTGTATCCACCTGTATCCTTGTCCCCATGCTGCCTACAGTGAATTATGGGCGCGACATCCGGCGAGGACCAGAACCGGCGTTTGTTTATGTGTGAACAGTACGAGCTAATGTAATTTGTCTGAGCATTGTGGATTTAATTTAAACATGTAGGAACACCACCTGTCAGAGCTCAAATAGGACAATATAATCATACCACTGCCTGCTGAGCACGAGGGATGGAGGGCGACTTGAAGAAGTTGTTGCGGATTACATCTACTAGCATATTTAGCTACATCTACTAGCATATTTAGCTACATCTACTAGCATATTTAGCTACATCTACTAGCATATTTAGCTACATCTACTAGCATATTTAGCTACTTCATTGACTCGGTTCTTCTGATGGTGAAGAGATGAACAACCTGAAAAGCTCTGAGGTGTATTAGTATCTACAGTAATAAGGTTGGTGTGTTTTGTTAAAAGAGGTGGAACACAATCTTATTGAGCTTAAAACAGACAGAGCCCAGCCAAAGCCTTAAAGTCCTCCATCATTGAGCTTGGGTTAATTACAGAGACAACCGTAATACCAAAGATGAACAAATACTATAATGCTGTGCCTCCGTACAATTGAAATCATACCTGATGTTCTCGTCACTGTTTTCAAACCTTCTGGGGATCCGGCATCTGTCCTCCGGTAGTTTATTGTAGTTCAGACACAAAGTAGGATGCAGGTTTTCCTCCGTCATAGTGAAATGAGCACACAGACAGTGTTTCAGGTGGTCTGTTCAAGTTCACATTTTTCAGCCACGTTCTTCTTAATTCCTCGTCTGTAGGTAGGAGATGGAAACTATACCTCTTTTCACAGGGACACTTTTTATTTAGCGTCCATGTTGTAAACCGTTGTTGTAGCCACTGATTTGGTTTGGTCTGGTTATTCAAGGGGACTGAGATGGAGTAGAGGTAGGGCAGCCGACTTGGTACCGGAAAGTCGCATTTCAACTCCCCACATTGCCCACATGTCGTGGTGTCCTTGAGCAAAACACCTAATATCTAATTGCTCCCCGGGCGCTTACATAGCTGCCCGCTGCTCCACCTGGGTGTATCTCAGGTGTGATGGGTTAAATGCAGACTTAATTTTGTCATTGTATGGGAACATACATTGATGACGATCTCAGACTTCCCTTCCTTTCCCTTGTTTGTGCATCCGCGAACAGCACAACAGGAACCTGAACTCCACAAGGCTATTTTAGTGAACTTTACGGTTGTTAAATTAATGTAAACAAAACAAAAACAGTGTTTTATTTGCTAAACTGAATGCAAATGACCTTCAAATAAACTGCGGCCCGTGCTCTGCTACCATGGTTAACAAGTGTTTACTGCTACTTCCTGTTTTACAGGAAGTTGTACCCATATTCATTTATACAGTACAGGCCCCAGGAATAAGGTGGATATGGATGGTATTAAAATTCAAAATACTTGTAGATATGTTGGATTACCATGAGGACAAGCCATATCGCCAACTACCTTGCATACCAAAGTTTTAAACAAAGATCTTTGGTGATCTGTTAGCGCTCAGGGTATGTGTTTGGATGGCTTTCAGCTACTACCATAGCACATGTTATCTCAGTGTCTGTCAGACTGACTGTTTTTGCTACTGTTGAGTTTGCAATGATAGAATAGCTACAGCAGCCATCTTGAATCAGGTTCACAACTAAATATTTATCAGTTGAAGATGCACAGCCCATGATTACTTTGTGACTGAGAGGTTTGTTAAAATGCTTTTAATGGTGCATGAGATATACTAAAATGTCCAAAAAAATGACTTGTAACACTGAACTACCTATTGAAAATGTAGAAATATTGTGAAAGCACGGGTTTAGAAGAATATGTTGTCTTAAATTTGTTTATAGGATGATTTTTTTTATTTGTTTGTGATATTTTGTATTTATTTTAAACCATTTTGTGCCATTTGATATATGCCGATAGAAATGTATGTAAGATTTAGAATGATGTCTTAATAAGATAGAAAGGTGCTATTTAAGTAAAGTCCATTTACCATTTGCACAAGTTCTAAAAGTACCTAGATAACAAGAACCCAGTTAAACAAATGATACCAAATATTATACTTGGTCATTTATTTATTGAGGAAAATGATCCAATATTGCATATTTGTGAGCGGTAAAAGTATGTGAAACTTTGCTTTCAGTATCTGGTGTAAACTCTCCCTTTGGAAGAAACACTTGTATGCTTAGGGTCCTCGTCTTGCTGCATGATCCACCTTCTCTTGATTCAGTTCATGGACAGATGTCCTGACATGTTCCTTCAGAATTCTCTGATATAATTCAGAATTCATTGTTCTATCAATGATGGCAAGTCGTCCTGGTCCAGATGCAGCAAAACATGCCCAAACCATGATACTACCACCACAGGTGGGATAAGGCTCTTATGCAGGAATGGTGTTTTTCATCCGTCCATCCATTATTTTCCACTTGTTCGGAAGTCAGTTCCCGGGGGCAGCAGCTTGAGCAGGGAAACATAATGCTTTCATTTAAACCAAAAAGTTAGATTTTGGTCTCATCCATTGACATAATCTGCCCTTCTGTCTGCTCTCTTTGTGTTCCTGTGCCTTTATTGTCCTTTTCTGCTTCTTGTGTTTGCCACTCTGTTTTCTGCCATTCTTCACTCACGCCTCAGCCTGTCTCTCCAGTCACACCAGTTTCCAATCAGTATAATCCCAGGTGCACTCATCACCCACTCTGCCCCAGCCATATTTAAACCTCTCTCCTTCACCACTAAGATGTCTGCTCATTGCTCTGTACACCTACAGATGTCCTCGTCTGTTCTGCTTGTTCCTGTTTCGCCTGATGACCTGTTCTTGTCCTGTACCTGTTCATCTGATAATCAGTCTGCCCTGTTCTTGTTCGCCCCTTACTCGTGTAAGTATTTGCTGCCTCGCCAGCCTTTCATAAATTATTTTATTTAAATTTCTGATCTCCTTGCCTGCCTGCAAATGGGTCTGAAAACTGAGGATCCCGATATCCGTCCACAAAACATTCTTCCAACAGTCTTCTGGCTTGTCCACGTGATCTTTATCAAACTGCAGACGAGCAGCAATGTTCTTGTTGGAGAGCGGCTTCTCCTTCCTCCCTGCCATGCACATCATTGTTGTTCAGAGTTCTCCTGATGGTGGACTCATGAACATCAACATTAATGTGAGAGAGACCTTCACTTGTTTGAAGTTACCCTGGGTTCCTGTGTGACCTCGCTGACTATTCCACACCTTGCTCTAGGAGTGATTTTTGTTGGTCCATCACTCCTGAGGAGGGTAACAATGGTCTGACTGTGGATTGGTGGAGTCCAAACTCTTTACAGATGTTTTGTAACGTTTTCCAGCCTGATGAGCATAAACAACTCTTTTTCTGAGCTCCTCAGAAATATTTGTTCCTCCATGACCCATTTCCACAAACATGTTGTGAAGAGCAGACTTCTATAGATCCAGTTCTTTAAATCAAACAGGGTGTCCACTCACACCTGATCATCATCCATTGATCGAAAACACCTGACTCTAATTTCACCTTCAAACTAACTGATAATCCTAGAGGTTCACATACTTTTTCCACTCACAGATCCATTGGATCATTTTCCTCAATGACCACGTATAATATTTTTGTCTCATTTGTTTAACTGGGTCCGCTTTATCTACTTTTAGGACTTGTGTGGAAATCTGATGATGCTTTAGGTCTTATTTTTGCAGAAATATAGAAAATTATAAAGACTTCACAAACTTTGAAGCACCACTGTATTTATTGAATTTAACTTAGTTTTATCTTGACATAAGTTTCACCTGCTGTAGCTGGAAGCAATAGAAATTGTAGAGTAGGGTTCTATAGAAAGATTAAAAACATGACTTTTGTAGATGGTTCTTTAAACATCCTAATAAAAGTTTAATTTTAACCAAAGTGTGCAGCTGGAATACCTGGCAAGAAAATAAAATGGCATTCTAGTCATACTTGGGGTTCTAGTACTAGCTGCTGCTGCAGCCATTTGTTCTAGCAAATAACCATAAAATTCAATGTATATGATGTAATATGAAACTGACAGCAATGTAAATGTTTATACAACAGAGAATACATGTACGGCTATGGTATATCTGCTAACACTTGGTGATGGCAATGAGGGACACCTATAGGCTACGTATTTGCGAGCACCAGCAAGTAGTGGTGGCGAGGCCTGGGGGCTGGGGGTATACCCCACCGAAATCCTTTTTAAAAATCTATTCAAACCTATACATTTTTCAGCCATTTGAAGAGCTTTTTACTGAATTCCTAGGATTGAACACAAAACATACAATCAATATTTTATATTGAACATTGAGCAGTGGTAGCAGGCTGTGTCAAGAAGGGCATCCGGC